TCTAAACTTAATCTCTAGCCTCTAATTCTAACCTAAACTTAATTTAACCTAACACCCTGTAAACCTAACCTAAACTTAATCTAACCTAACATAAACTTAATCTAAACCTAACCTAACCTAATCCTCGCTTACCACTCTTTCTTTCGATGCCAGTTAGCATCCTTTTTAATCTAAACCTAACCTAAACTTAATCTCTAGCCTCTAAACCTAAACTAAACTTAATCTAAACCTAACCTAACCTAATCCTCGCTTACCACTCTTTCTTTCGATGCCAGTTAGCATCGCTTTTAAGGATCCATTTTCGATCCAGAGTGTGGTCAATTATGAGAGCACTATTGTACTTTTGTGAGGTGTAAAACAGTGTATTTTTAGAGACTTAGCTCCACTTATCGGAAATGCAATCAATGACGATTCTTTTGCTAAATAACACCGTTACCATGAAAATCGGGCACTTTGTTATTTTATCGCGGTGGGTTTCGAAATTACGAATTCGATCGAATCTAATTTGGCTCTATCGTTGCCACTGATCGTAATACAAAATGGGCCAAAAGTTTCTTCTCACTCTTTTTTTTTTTTTTTTTTTTTAATAAAACATCAAAATATGAGGAGAAACTAATTCAATCAATTTTAAATTAAATTCAAGTACAAAGTACATGAAATTAGTCGAATCGATGATCTGCGAGGAAAAAATTTCTTTAAATATGTAATAAAAAATTACGGACTTATTTTAGTGGTAAGTGATGATTTTCGGCCCACCCTATATTTTATTTAAGAGCCTAGCGAATCGAAACGTGAATTAAAACGTTTCTTTCTGTTCACAATATCCTGTAATATCATTTAAGTAATGGTATTTCCATCTGTACGAACGAAAACCGTGTCGTGACCAATTAGAACGGAACTTCATCGCGTGAAATTGAAAACGTTTCTGCCTGTTTACAATTCCGTGAAATATCATTGGTATCGATACGTAAATATTATAAAATATTTCCATTCGTACGAAATCCGTATCTCTACAACCAACTACAACAAATTCGAACGACGAGTAGTCCGACAAATTAAAACAACATCGCTACCGTGTACCATGTTGCATTATTTATCTCGAACGTTTTCAATCGTTGACGAACGTTATCGGGAAAGGGCGAGTGATTTGTAACCTATGCGTAACCTGTGCATTTCGAAGGAACAAAAATTTGTTTTCCCTATCGGAGGATCGATATACCGGTCTATCGAGCTATCGAGGGCCAGATGAAATTTCCCGGCGAAACAATTCCAATAATTGGCGTAGGCGAGCACTTTGATCCGATTCTGAAAGGGATTTGATGAAACGATGGGCTGGAACGCCGGGAAAGAAAAAAAAACAAAGGCGAGCCATAACCGGCGTTGTTTCTTCGATCTTCCGTACGAAATGAACAGGAACAATCTCGAGATTGTACCTTCGGTACAGCTGGTCAGCTTCGCGGTGCAAAGCTTGCGCGTACTCTCGATTATTCTTCCAGGCCAGCTGGCCATCGCGGCGAAGACGAGCCCGGTTCTCCGCATTCTCCACCGTTTTTCTCGTATCGTTCAAGTCCTCCAGGTCGTCGGTAAGCCCTCTGCGCGCGAGTACCGCCATCGAGCTGACGTTTGCCTCGAGTCTCTGCTTCGAGCTTCGAGCTTTGCCGATCGTTCGAAAAAATTCGGCGAAATTTCAATTTGCCAGACGAGAGAAATTCGATCTGCTCGCAATCGATATTTTAACTGCGTTCGTGTTGATTATTTAGTTGGCCAAATGGTCTCTGAATTCTTTTCCGCACCTAATTTCACGCAGAAAGGAAAAAAGATTAATAAATAAATGAATGACAGTTGCCAGTTCACTAGAACACTAGAACTTCTAAAGGGAAATCTTTATGATACAATGTAGGCTTTATTTATACATTTTGCGAAAATTTCGTTTACATTTCTTTCCAACGGAAATTATCAGTTGGTCGTTTTGTTGAAAGTTTCGTTCCAGCGTCGCACACAGTGTAGAACAATTACAATGTATTAACAGCGAGGTACACGTTCGTAAACTGGACGTGAAATTTTAATTAGTCGACGATGAAATGTGATTTCCACGATAGAGTTGTTGGAGGTTGAGTGAGCCTGAAACTGTCTATTAAACGAGGAAACTTGCCCCTGTTAACCGCGTCAATTTCATCTTTTACAACGTGACAGAGGCACACGTTCCGCTTTCGAACGAACAATTCTCCGGGAACACGGCCAGGACACGTCTCACGGGGATTATTCTGTAAAGAGGCGAGAAAAGGAATCGACGTCGAAGCTAAACGCTGGCCCGCTCTCTCGCCAGAGGTTCGAAGAAACTTTCGACCTTCTCGTTTTCTCGTCGATCTGGTCGTTTGACGACGACAGTGGTCTGAAGTATCGCTTCGCGAGATATTCGAAACATCTGAGAAACGAGACTTCGTATCAGCCTCGATAGCACAGGCTTCGAGAAAGTCCGACGATTCGACCTTGGTCGAAAGTTTCGTACTAACAAGTACACGCTTCTCGCTTATCAAGGATAACAGAGCCGGCGAAATCTTATCGGGGAAAAGTTAGTACACGATGGCTCGCTTCACGCTCCGCCATTGTCATTCATATTCATCAAGGTAGGCGACGTCAGATCGCTTCTTGTGTAACTTGCGACGAAAGCCGGGGACAAACTGTACCTACGTACACACATGCACGTATATTTCTTGCACTTAGGTATATATACGTATGTACGAAGCTGCCGCTTATACACATAGGGTGTCCTATAGTGAAGCAACCCGCCAACTTTCTCTGAAAATGTTCGCTGTAGAGAAAAAATGTTTCAAATAAAACTTATGTTGTTTCGAGGTGGCCATTTATAATATTTCGAGGTGACCTTTGTTTTCTTTTTTCTGAATGAAATATATCTTTCAGCTGGCACAGTTTTGCAACTGACGTCGAGACGAATTCAGCAACCTAGATGGCGTTGATGTTGAAAATATACAGTTCAACTAGAACTAGCTAGGACTAGAGTATAAAATTTCCATCAGGGAGACGTTAAAGCAGTGGTTTAGGTTAAGTTTAGGTTTAGGTTAGGTTTAGGTCAACTAGCTAGAACTAAAGCATAAAATTTCCATCAGAGAGACGTTAAACCAGTGGTTTAGGTTTAGGTTAGGTTTAGGTTAGGTTTAGGTCAACTAGAACTAGCTAGAACTAAAGCATAAAATTTCCATCAGAGAGACATTAAAGCAGTGGTTTAGGTTAAGTTTAGGTTTAGGTTAGGTTTAGGTCAACTAGAACTAGCTAGGACTAGAGCATAAATTTTCCATAAGAGAGACGTTAAAGTAGTGATTTAGGTTAGGTTTAGGTTTAGGTTTAGGTCAAATAGAACTAGCTAGAACTAGAGCATAAAATTTCCATAAGAGAGACGTTAAAGTAGTGATTTAGGTTAGGTTTAGGTTTAAATTTAGGTTAAGTTTAGATGGATAATTAGGTGGATAGTTAGATGGATAGTTAGGTTTAGGTGGATAGTCTGGTGGAAGCTTCCTAGATAAAAATCAGCGCATTATGCGGCCATTTTACAGACCACATCATATGTCTGGTATTTTTACGTACAGCCTTACGATCGTGTCGTCATCGAAAATTGTTTATTTAGGTTAGGTTTAGGTTCCTAACCTTTTTACCTTTTTATGGCCACAGCTGAGCATCTCTAAAATCCTGGTCCTCCATCGCTGTGATACATAATTCTTATCGTTATGTTTAGTTATTCAAAAAGTGAATGTTTGACGAAGAGTGAAGAAGGCCATTAATTTAAGCTTTCAAAGAGCATGACATCGATGAAAGAAAAAAATATGAAGGTTAAATTTTCATTTAAATTTAAGTGCAAAAAATTCATTTTTTCACCTAGAAGATCAGAAATTGCTCCTTAAAGTAGAAGAAACAGAAAATCTGTATAATAGTGCACAGAAGCTTTTATCTGTTTATTTTTTGACGAGGAATCGAGTCTCTCAAAAATACACCGTTTTACATCTACGAAATATCTAATCAAAACAAAATTTATCATTTTTGACCGAAGAAAGAAAACAAGATTCGTGGTTCTCCTCGAAACATCGTTCTCTATGGCGAACAGTTTCAGCGAAAACTGCGCGATTGGCTTCACACGAGACACCTTGTATATACACACACGTAACTCTCGACATACGCAAAAACCATAGATGACGAATGTTATTCGTATTGGTCGAAATCGACGAAGCCCGGTCTCTCCTTGGAGAGTTCGTACTGCTTCAGCAGGGCTTTCCTCGCCTGTTTCTCAGGATCTGTCGGAGGGCCGGGCAGTATGGTCTTCCTCTTGCAGGGCAGCTTGAACTTGCGATCGAGGGGCTTGCAACCGGGCATGACGGACAACCGTCGATCGGCGGGAACAGCGTCCATCCGCCTCCAAAGGAAGTCCACCTCGGCCTTCATGTCGTCCGGCATCAAGTTGAGTATCAGCTGTTGCCTGACCGCGATCGCGTCGAACGCCAACAGCTTCTCCATGTCCATGTCGTCGATCACCTCGATCGCGTTCTTGTAGAAGTCGACGAGGAAATCGAGGCCGAGCTTCTTCGAGCTGGAGAGGGCCAGGAGAGCCGCCTCCTTCGCCTCGTTGCGGTAATTCTGATTGATCTCGATTCGAATGAACAGGTGTTGACAGTTCAGCATCCACTGCTCGTTGCCCGCCTCCTGTCCCATGTCTCGAGCCTTTTTGCTATAAAATCGGGCCAAGTCGTAACGACGAATGTCGATCAAGTATCTCGAGAGCTCGTGGAACAGCCAGGCCAGCTCCAGGGGTTCCGAGGCCATGGCCAGTCTCCTGAAAATTTATTCTCTTCTCTTGCGGAATCGTGGATCGTCGACGAACAAAGAGACCAGAGATTATTACCTGCGGTAATTCTTCAGAGTCTTCTTCCTGTCCGATACTCTTATCCAGCCAATGTCGCTGTCGCGTGGCAGCTCCGCCACTCGAATTCCAAGGTGATGTTTCAAGTATATTCTCCGAAGCTTCCTGCCCTGTATCTTGGACAGATCGCGGGTGTCTATGTACGTCCACGCGATCATGTTGTACACCGCGTTCAAGCACTTCTCCTTCGCCGGGAACGTCTTCAGCGAGTACGAGTCGAACTTGTCTTTCACGCGGTCCACCATTCTGACGACAATCGAATACACCGAATGTTATTATAGTATACACAGCTTGGATAGACCTGGAGTAACTTTGAAATTGTAATTAAAAAAAACTGTTTAATACAAAGATTTTTAAAATATAGGCAAAATATCTTTTTTTTTTT